TGAAAAAGGTAGCATGAAAGAAGGATATAGGTAGGGGCTTTTGAAGGAAGAAGATAATTGTTATAGGTATTATATATGGAAGGAATAGTATGATGAAATGACACAGAGTGGGAGAGATCACAAAGTACATTTGAGAAATAGCAAGATGAATATTTAGTGAAAGCTGACACACATATGGTGTATTTTATTCATTTATTCAACAAATATATATCAAGCATTTACTCTGGGCCAATATAGCAAAATAACATGGATGGGAAGTTTCCCATCAAAGAATGAAGGATTCTGAATGCCAGAAAAAAAAAATACACAGGTATTGAATTGCCATTAAAGATAAGTAAACAAAAAAAAAAACTGAATGTGATTCATGCTATACTTTAGAGCTGTTAACTTTGCAGCAATGAATAGAATGAGTATAGTTAGAGGCTTAAAATTTACTTAGTTGATAATTTCAGTGTTAAGTATGTATACTAAGAGAATATTTGAATAGCAGCTTCCATACAGTTGGGTCTGGGGTCCAGAGTCAGAAAAAATTTCCATAACTTGATACCTACTTAATAAGTATTTAGGAAGAAATCACAGAAGAAAATCCACCCCTCCCTCCCGCATACACCTCAGAAGGATCAAAGTAGATGACACCCTCTTACACAGATTGTTTTTCTCAAAGGGGGTGGATGTATTTCCACATTTTACTGTATTTTTATTTAATAAAATGGCCACCGTAATGGTTTTGCTCATTAGTGATATAACATTCTCAAAGTGAAAATATTTTATTATTAAATATTTAATTTTAATTACAAAAATTTTTAGGTATAGATGGACACAATACCTTTATCTTATTTTTATGTTTATATGGTGCTGAGGATGGAACTTAGTGCCTAATATATGCTAGTAAGTACTCTACCACTAAGCCACAGCCCCAGCCCTTAATAAGTCATTAAATATTTAATAAGTGATTCCTAACAAATGCCTGAAGAACTCTAATTTTAAAATTTGTAATGTTTCAAATTCTGAGTTAATATCCCTTAGCCAATAACAGAACATTGGAAAACCATTAATACTCTGAAAGGAAAACAAAAAGGCACAGAATAAAAAAGAATTAAAACTTAAGGATGGTTGTGGGGGTACACTCCTGAAATCCCAATTGTTCATTAGGCTCAAGCCTAAAATCCAAATCCAGTCTCATCAACTTCTCAAGACCCTATCTCAGAATAAAAAATAAAAAGAATTAGGTATAACTCAGAGGTAAAGTGCTCCCAGGTTTAATTCCTGGTATGGTAAAAACAAGCAAACAAAGGAAAGATTTTTTTTTCCTCCTTTGTATAAGCATTATTAAACCCTGTAACTTAAAAAATTACATATATTCTAATAGAATTATAATAAAATTTTTAGACATAATTCACAGTGTTAAAATTATTTATATTCTGTGGAAGCCAAGAGCATCCCTCCTTAAAGTATAAAATAAGGTTTCACCTTCTGCCAACTCCTTGTTCTCACAGCTGAACTGTCACAGCATGAAAACATTCCCCTACTGGTAAAGCTTTAGATACCTATTTCCCTGATGAAAGAGTGCAAAAGGAAGTGAAAGAGTTGTTGACAATTCATACAGTATCTTATACTCCATTACTCTACAACTATAAGAAAAGAAATATTTTAACTCTGAAGGAAGATGAGCAACAACGTTCTAAATGATTGGTGACTTCACAGAGTAGCCAGAAAATGTCAAGACTCAAGTATAACAGGTTCATAAGAGACTTAAGATTATACAAGAATCTAATTTTAAGAAGTCTATTTCTTTGTTCTGTTTCCTAAGTTAAAGGTTAATGAGAAGTATAATAAAGAAAACATTTTGTTACCTTAAAATATTTCTCATGCAGTATAAGAACATAAATGAATAAGTATTAATTTAGTTCTTCGTTATCTTTTTAAAAAATATTCACTGAAGTATAATTTACATGCCGTAACATTTGTTTTCATTTAAATGTCCAATTTAATGACTTTTAGTAAATTTAAAGGTGTGCAATCTTTTCCACAATCTAATTTTAGAACATTTCCATCACCCAAAATCTATTAACTTCTTGATCTCTATTTCCATAAATTCACAGAAGCCACTGTAAAGCTATTGTATATTCAGAGCCACACAAATGTCTGCAACTAAGAAGAAAAAGTGCAAACCAACTCTAATTTTAATGACCTTTCTAACCAATCCTCTACTCTGGCACCAGAAAGCAAATGTTCAGGTGCTTGCACTGAAAGTTAAACCATTCTAAGTATTAAGTTATGGCACACTGTCTTGGAAAGAAATTAATTATATTTTTGTTGGTAACACATTTCAGGCTGTTTACACAGCTGACATTTCTCAGCTGTACCCAAATCATGCCCTAAGCTGTGAGGACTATCTTGTTTTGTAGCAGATGCCTCCACTTGAAGTGATTTCAGTAAGTATAAAAACACCACTTCCTGCAACAATATAGATTACAATCGTCAGCCTTACAAGTTTTTATGGTCTTAAAGAAAGATTTAATGACAATTATTTGGCTAGGATATCCTTAGAAGTCTAAAGCCACTTTTTTTTTTGCTTAAATTGAAGCACTGGAGCAAGCAGATCTGCTGTGGCAACCAGTTAAAAGCAGCCTGGCCCTAAACAGCTTTGTTGTATCAAATCATGTAGCTCAAGGCCACATTCTGCCAATGTGGCAACATTTGCTCTGAAGAAGTGGGCAGCACCACTTCACAGGTTCTGGGACAAGGTGCAAATATGAATAATGAGAATCAAGCCTCTTAATGGGGATTCCAAACTCTTGTACTTATTGTGATTTAGATGCAGCACTAGGTAGCATTACATTCTTGGATATTGTGGATACTGTTAGTTTCATCTGCTTTCCATATTGTCCTATAGCAGTAAAATTGCATTACAATCATTTGGTAAAAATTTAAATGTTACAAAAATCATTAAACATAGGTCTCATAAAAGACTGTGTCAACCGAATTTAATGAATTAGCAGTGAAAATGTGTAAAGACACTTTGTTACAGAAAAATTGTTCATATTTCATTGAATTTTCCTCTTGAACTTACACCTGATGAGCCTATTTCAGTCTGGTTTCTACAAGTATGCAACACGACGTTTTTGCTTAAACTCAATCACTGAAGTTAGTGAATCTGTTCTGAAGCCAGTGTAGTCTCACATTTCTAGACTTTCTTTTATTACTTTATGCAATAAGGTAATAAGCCTTATTACATATGGTTTATTATAACCTTGCTCTTAAACCAGATATTTATTTTTGCTTTAAAACTTTTATCATGGAAACCTTTAAATAATATATAAACTTAATACATCCATTGCTCAGATTCAATAATGATCAATAGATACCTAATTTGTATTGCCTTTATTCTTACTCAAATCTCAGACATCATTTCATTATTTAAATCAGTTAATTCTTGCCTACGGTCCTTTTTGCATTATCTTAATATTAATTACAATATTAACTCTCAGATACAGTGCCTACTATGAGCCAGATAGTGAAAATATATTATCACTAATCATGATATATTATCACTAATCAACAATGCTGTAAAAGAATGAGGTAAGTGAAGCTCATAGAATTTTAGTGAAATGCTCAGATCTTATTAATTATTTTCTTCTGTTAATGTTATTATTTATTGTAACAGGTTTTTAGACAATACAACCAACATTTCTAGTTTCCTCAAGTCTCCTTAGTAAACAGTAGGCTGACAATTAAAAATAATAAAACTTTTTGTTTTTATAAACACGTCATAAATTTTCTACCAAATTTCCCAACCTACAAAGAAAACAAAACAACTATAGCCCTATTCTTAGTAATGGTGAACCAGCCAATAATTCTAATGATATAATATTAATGTTAAAATCAGTTTTTCAGAAATAAATGTAATTGTGTATACCTAAAACATTTTTTTCCTAGAATCATTCATTTAAAAAAAATTTCTTTTTTGCTCTTTTCTGTTTCATTTTTTTTTTTAATTTTTGTTAATTCACAAAGTATTTTCCAAGGCACAGACCCAAGCAGCATCTACATTAACCAACTCTTAAAATTATTCTATCTTGTACCAAGAATTTTTTTATATTAAAATGTATGATGGTGGTGCAAGAAAGGGAGAAATAGTTAGTACCCAGACAGAAATATAATATATAGTAGAAAATATAAAAAGGTAATTTAATTCTTAGTCAAGAATAATTGACTACTTATTATTACAAGAGGTTGACAAAGTCCTGATTTCTTTTTAGCCTTATTTTAAAATTTAGATTTAATTTAGAATTCCTGAAACATTCTAAATTTTACTTTTATTTAATGAGCATCTTTTGAATATAGATATTGTTTGGGCAAAGTGCCCAAAACCTCAGTTAACTTCTTTAGATAATAAAATTTATTCTCTTGGACAAGGGTAATTATAGGAAATGAGACAGAAGCAGAAAAGGTTTCAAAATTTATAGTAGAAAATCACTAGAAATAAATATAACAAGTAAAAATGATAGACTAAAGTTTTTTATGAAACTGAAACTTATAAAACTGTTTAAGGCTAAAGGGCTATGAGATGTCAAATTTAGTCATTTTTTAGAGCACCAGTATAATCTGGGAAATGTAGTATTAATATTAAATATAATGATTAGGATGATTTTGAAGTATCTGTAATTAAGGAAAATTCTTTTGAACATTTATATTTACGTATGTTCTTCTGAAGAAAATATATTCTATATGAAGAAAAAATTTAAGTCAAATCAAGCAGCATCAAACTCCTGATACTGACATTCAAACATTTCCAATGGAATGTTGATGTGTTTGGCTTATAGTATTTGTTCTGCAAGTGAGCTTAAATTATTACAACTGCTTTTATTTTCACATTTTTTGACTTTCTCAGGTGAATATCTGAAGCATTTGATTCTGCATGTTAGCCAGACCAATTATGACTGAAAGTGGCAAAAAAAGGGAAAAGATACAAAATTGAGAACTTGTCTGTTACTTACTGAGTCATCTGTAGCAGAGGGTGGCCAGCCCTCCCATAACTGATGTCGAACGGGTATACTTGTAAGGTCATACACATTTCTCTTTACCTATTAAAAAAAAGGGGGGGCACAATTATGATAGGGTTTCCACATGACTTATGGTAGTTTCAGTCAATTTATATGAAAGACAAGGCATTTCAACATTTCTTTTAGATTCAGAATAAGAATTTGAAAGTACGAAAAAAATTTGTAAAAAATAAAACAACCAAATCTATAAGCAGAATTTTGGTGAAGGCTACATGAAATTTTTAAAATTTTTAAAAGTTCTAGAAACACCATTCGTCCTTGATTATATACTCCTCATTGACTTCAAGTTTCTTTTTAGTCAAGAAACTTCAAGGACCCATTTCATTTAGTACAGACTACAATTATTAATGTTTATAATTCTTTTAAGGTTTAAAGTGTGTGATTTTTTCAAATATATTTCAAGTTTCCACATGGGAGAGAGAAACAAAGCATTGTTTGTTTGTTTGTTTTTGGGTTGGGGATGGTGAGAAATTGAAGTTGTCCTTTTTTATATACATATAAGATTCAAAGATTAAAAACTTAATAAAGCAGTATAGGTTATTTATTTCCAATGATATCAAATTAAAAACTATTTCAACACAATATTTATTAACACCAGAGCTATCCATTAGTATAATATTTATAAACTTCCTAGAAAGAATACACAGTAGAAGCTATTAATGCTTTTTAAATCTGTTTTTCCCAGCAGCAACATTATACCTTTCATTTTTAAAGGAGAGGAACTGATAAGATAAGGTGTTGGAAGGTTAAACTTTATCCAGTAATCCAGTAATTAAAAAGCATCATATCTTTCTTTGGCTTTTTTTTTTCTCTAAATAGCATACAGCAATTCTATTTTTTATTTGCAATTAAATTAACCAATTATAACAATGGAGAAATTAAAACTATCTACTTTAACTAACTCTAGGTTATTTAGAGCACAATTACTCTGACAAAATGTTGCACATAAGATGTTCTGTAATAAGATTTCAATATAGTTGTTCATACTTCAACAAACAGCATTCATTCATGTTTTTGAAATGCAGAAACCTGAAGTATCATATTGTCCAATTATAGCATTTTGTTATCACATTACTCTTTATTATACTATCATAAACACATCTAAGTTACCCTTCCAGTGAAATAGGGAGATATGTTCACAAGGGAAAGGAAAAACAAAACATGGAACTCAATCTATTTTTATCACTATGGTACACCTGTGGAAAAAAGGACTTAGTAAATGAGATCTGAGGAGCTTGGGACATGTCTTGATCCCCACTCAATTCAAACAAACAGCTTTTCTTCATAGTTCTTAGCAATGGTCAGTCTACCATGCATTATTTTGTTTACACTAAGTCAAATCGAGTTTGGAAATTTTCATCAGTCATTATCAACCCAACAATTTCACCAAATGTAACTGGCCTATCCCTCTCACCATTTTCACTACTTAAGACTATTCTGTTATGGATAAACATTAGTGCTCTTAAAAAAAGAAAGGTGTTCCACAAATCCAAAGAATTTTATTTTTGAAGAGGGAAAATTCAGAAGAGGGAGTATGGGTTTTCTCTGGGCTTTAAGGCAAAATTTCTTTCCTTATAAAAGTTATTTTTAGAGTGTCTAAAGACACCAAAATTCATCAGTTATTTGTGAAAAAGGCAGAAAAAATATTTACATCTGTTGGAAAGGTGGCAAGGCTACCATAGTATTAGAAAGTATAGACTACTGTGAATACATAAACGAATAACTGTGGCATGAAATTCTTTAAATTCTACCTTAATTCCAAAATACAACACTATGGTATTATGAAATAAACAGTATTTTCTTCTTTCATTAACTCATCTGTAACTGCACTGAATTGAATAACATTCCTTCACTATTCTAAGCCTGAAAAGCATGTTCTGGCTATAGTGTTATGTTGGTATAAAGCACAATGCCAGACTGATGTGCTGAACAAAAGTGATCAAAGTTAGAGTAATGTTAGCCATTGCACAAGTATTTGGCTTCATTGTTCTCCCTAGAATGACATCTGTTAAGCAACTTGTCATAGAATAAACTGGTTAACGCAGACAGAACTTGGCTGAGAGAGTACCATGTAAAGCATATTAGGCTAATGTTTGATTGTTCCAATGGAAAGGTTAAATTTACAGACTACTCTAAGATTAAGCCAAAAGAATCCTGTGTTAAACCATAACCACCAAACAACAATTTAAGTAAAAACAAACTGGTTTTTCAAAAATAATTCCATGTTTATCAACAATAAGAAGATTTTATCACTGTATGGAAGAAGCACAAGTGATGACAAAAATGCCAAATGAATGGTGATTTTAGTAATAGAGATAAAAATTGTTATTTTTACCAATGGTTATATTTAATTAAAAATTTAAGTCATAATCCAGCAGGGAAGAGAAAAATCCAAAATGTACACAATGATAACGTATAAAAGATTTCTTTAAAAAATTAGAATTTTGGGAAACCTGAATAAAAAAATACAACTGTGTATAAAATTACACAAATGAATTTAAAGTCATCATGAAGCCAACGAAAGAGTGTACTCAACTCTCTCAGAGAAGGAGGATGGAGAGAGAAGGAGAGGGATAGAGACACGGGAAGAAAGATGGGGGAGGGACACAAAGAGATGAGAAGAGACAGAGGGAAAAAGAGAAAGTGAGGGGAGGAAAGTGACTGATCTGAGACTTCAGAGCACTTGAGAGGGGTGGAAAGAAAACACACACACACACACACACACACACACACACACACACACACACGGGTTGCTGTGACTGGCATGCCCAGCTGCCATTATTGTACTGCTTCTGATGGAGTTTCATCTTAAAAGACTGTTAAATTCCAGTTAAGGACAAGTGGCACTTCACTGGGTAACATTTCCTAAGGGCCTTTTTGTCTTACACATTTTCTTTGATCAGCATTGGCTCAAGACCATACCCAACCATCATAATCTTCTCAATTCTTGTTTTGCATTAAGCTCTAAATCTATGAGATTTCAGGCTGCTAAACTATGCAAATGTTTCAATTAGTTCTGGAGGAATTTAATAAATGCTTTGATTATCAGCTGAACATTAAAATTACATTACAAATTATACTGTGTTGGATCAGTTCTAGACTGATAACAGATTTTCCATAGTTTATTTAGTAGACTTTTTGAAAGGGATAATTTAATGTTTTTCTTATTGCTTCAGATAAGAAAATTGTGATTGAAATATAAATCAGATTTATTTGAAATAGTACAGAATTAATATGGAACTGTTTGTTTATCATCAGCCTTTCATTGTTAATATCTATTTATATACCATAATTAATATTAAAAAACTAAGCCATGATCTCTATTTCAAATTTTACATTTTCTCAATCTATACAAATTTCAATGCTAAACTTAGCAATGAAAAAGATTATTTTATTAAGACCCATTCAATATAAAATTATAAAAGAATTTGCATAACATATTCATTTCCTACAAATTCTTCCTTTGATTCACTTAAACTTTTAATCAGCTTTACTTTTTAGTTAAATGCCATCAGAATTTCTTAAAGTATTTGGTAAAGGCTAAATGTTAAGGCTCAGACTAGACTCAAATGAGTTGTTCACAGGTTTTCAAATTGGAAAATATAAAGCTTAGTAATAATGAAGTCATTCCTTGTGAGCTAATGTTTGTCAAACAGTGTGCAAGGTATGAAGACACGAAGGTATGAAGACACGAATGGTGTGAATATACTTTGTATACAACCAGACACATTAAAAAAATGTGCTCTAGATGTGTAATATGAATTGTAATGTGTTCTGCTATTGAATATAACAAATTAGAATAGAAAATAAAATTTGAAAACATATCAAAAAAATTTTAGAAAGCATTTCAGGGAATTTCAAATGTCATTCAGGTATTATTCAAGGGAAAGCTGATTCTAATAGAAAAAAAAAGCCACAGAGTTTGATATGTTGTGGTATAAAGAGAAGCAGAGAACTAGATTTCTAATCCTAATTCTGCACAGCTATTACTATGGGCAAACTGGTGGAGTCATTTCTGAGATTTAGTTTCCTCAATCATAGAAGATATTAAAACATGATCACTTCTGATTTTCAAAGCTCTAAAATTCCATGATTTCATGAGGATGTTGGAGCTAATCCTAAATGCAGAAAAAGAAGAGTTAAATATATGCAAGACAAAAAAAGGTAATGAGGGAAATTAATACAATCATCAAAGCAAGAAAATGGAGGAATAACAGATTTAATAAATATAATACATCAAAAAGAAAAACTGCAAATAATTTCAGGTGAGAAAAAAAGACAAAATAAGCATTTTTTGATGGATTTTCTTTGGATAAAGAAAAATCTTAGTCTTTACTTTTATTTTCCCTTTTTTAAAAAACCTTATTAGTTTTTTCCCTTATAAAATCTCACTTCAAAATAAAACCTGGTACATTGGTTTCCCAAACAATTATTCCCTCAACCAAATGTTAATCACTGAGGTTATGGTTTTCCCAGAATTACTACTACTTAAGAATTAGTTTTAAAGCTTTATTAACTTAAAAGATTTTTGAAATCTGGCTGAGGATTCTTCACATATCAAGCATTTTAACATAACAAAAATAAAAACAAAATATTTAATTGCCAAGGGCTTAAAATAGCCATCAATTAGCTTTCCAGTTTCTAGATTTTCTAAATTAAGATACTATGGCACATTAGAGGCTTTTCAAAACGTAATCCTGAAACTACAGACATCCATCTCATTCTTACAAGAAAGAGGCCTCTGGTCATATTAGAACCTGAGCTTATCCAAAGTTTAAATATATCAAACTGTGAGTTCCAAGTATTTCACACTATCAAATAATATTCTGGTTAAGAATGTGCTGTTAACAACTGCATGGAACAAACAAGTATTTGTATTTGTATGTTTAAATCAAAATAAGGCATACAGCCTAGGCTTAGTTCCAGTTTCTTAGCAATCATTGGTACTCTGAAAGGCTTATATGGTTAGAAACCAATCATTTCTGATTCAGAGTGGGTTTTTGAGAACATACTTCATATCT